TAGAAATGGGGTTTCACCATGTTGGTCAGGATGGTCTCAATCTCCTGACCTCGTGATCTGCACGCCTCAGCCTCCCAAAATGCTGGGATTACAGGTGTGAGCCACCGCCACCGGCCAATTTTTAAGTGTCAATCATCAAATCGATTCATCCCATGGATGATACAGTGTAACACAGTGAACACTATAATGGATATGAAAAGACTTAGATTTCCACTATTGCCCAACTTTAGCAACTTAGGCAGATAAATCACTTTACTTCTGGGACCTTCGGTTTTATCAAAAGTAAAACAAGACTAGATAATCTGACTCTACATTCTATAAATTAGCTTTATTTATTTATTTATTTTGACAGACGGTCTTGCTCTATCACCCAGTCTGAAGTGAGAGCAGTGGCACCATCACGGCTCACTGCAACCTCAACCTCCCAGGCTCAGCTTCCCAAGTAGCTGGAACCACAAGCACGCTCTGCTAATTTTTAAATTTTTTTATAGAGATGGGATCTCACTCTGTTATGTAGGTTGGTCTCAAACTCCTGGCCTCAAGTGGTCCTCTCACCTCAGCCTCCCAAAGTACTAGGATTACAGGCGTGATCTGTTAATGTGCCCTGCCATTAACATTTTATTTTAACCAATTTTGTTGGTTTTGAGATCGTCGTTAAATAAAAGTAACAGCAGCACATATGGAAGAAGCAAACTGTCTGATGAACTCCATAGGAACATCTGCAGTGTTTCATACAGTCTCTGACTTTCAAATGCAAAGAAAAAAAAATAGGTTGTATCTGAAGACTATTCTAGTAATATTTTGACCACACAAGCTACTGGGGTAGGAAAAAATAGTAGAAGAATAGTGTAAGTGTTCAAGGAAAAATGCCACCAGAAAAAAACCAAAATAAAAAACAGATGCTCCACATACGGTTATTACTACATTACAGAAGCTTTTCATAGTTTTTCAGTGCTCTTAAAAAGGGCAAATAAAAAAAGAAACAAAATGTTTTCTTAACCATTTACATGTATTACATGTATTTTTCACATCCTCAAACCTGGAAAGGACCAAATATAAAATAATCTATGTGGCCGGGCACAGTGGCTCACACCTGTAATCCCAGCACTTTGGGAAGCCAAGGCGGGCAGATCACGAGGTCAGGAGTTCGAGACTAGGCTGACCAACACGGTGAAACCCCGTCTCTACTAAAAATACAAAAATTAGCCAGGCATGGTGGCGCATGCCTGTAATCCCAGCTACTCAGGAGGCTGAGGCAGGAGAAATCACTTGAACCTGGGAGGCGGAAGTTGCAGTGAGCTGAGATCACGCCACTGCACTCCAGCCTGGGCGACAAGAGTGAAACTCCGTCTCAAAGGAAAAAAAAAGAAAAAAAAAGAAAAAAAAAGATAATCTATAGACTGAGTTATTTGTGAACATAACTGACCTGCTCGACTATACTTTATAACTCTCTAGTATTTACTAATAGTGTGCCAGAACATAAAAAACACCTCATACTGGTTGAATAAGTGAGTAAACAAAAATACATGAATCTCTAATCTACAAATAAGATTATACATAATAAATTCTGATCAACCTTTACTAGTTGTTTTGTATCATAGTCTAGTAAAATCCAATATCGGAAGTAAAAGAACAGATGGAACTAAATATGCAAGAGTTATATCATTCCCAGGCATCAATAAGAATTTGAAATTACAACTAAGATAGATCACAGAATACAATCAAAACCAAATAACCAAAACATATTTTTTAAAAAACAAACAGCCTGACATTCACCTACATCAGCCCCCAGTCTATCCAAAGTCCTTTGCCTTCTACAGCAGATAACAAAGGTAAGAAAAGAAAATCTCACCAATTCATAACACAACTTTTTTTAAATGCTTTTAAGGCCGGTTGCAGTGGCTCACCCCTATCATCTTAGCACTTTGGGAGGCTGAGACAGGCAGATCGCTGGAGCCCAGGAGCTGGAGACCAGCCTAGGCAACATGGTTAAACCCTGTCTCCACAAAAAAAAAAAAAAAAAAAGGCCGGGCGCGGTGGCTCAAGCCTGTAATCCCAGCACTTTGGGAGGCCGAGATGGGCAGATCACAAGGTCAGGAGATCGAGACCATGCTGGTTAACATGGTGAAACCCCGTCTCTACTAAAAATACAAAAAACTAGCCGGGCGAGGTGGCGGGCGCCTGTAGTCCCAGCTACTCGGGAGGCTGAGGCAGGAGAATGGCGTAAACCCAGGAAGCGGAGCTTGCAGTGAGCTGAGATCCAGCCACTGCACTCCAGCCTGGGCGACAGAGTGAGACTCCGTCTCAAAAAAAAAAAAAAAATTACCCAGCCATGGTGGCCTGCGCCTGTAGTCCCAGCAACTTGGGGAGGCTGAGGTGGAAGGATCACCTGAGTCCAGAGGTCAAGGCTGCAGCGAGTCACTGTTCTTCAGCCTGGGCAAAAGAGACCCTGTCTCAAAAAAAAAAAAAAAAAAAAAAAAAAAAAAAAAAGCTTTACAGAAGTTATTGACTAATCTAATTTTGCCTATAAGTTAATTTCCATCATTTCATTCTTTTTTGATTAAGAGGATAGGCAAAACACAAATTTTACTGTTTTTTAAATTCAATTAAAAATAAGGCAGGCATGGTGGCTCACACCTGTAATCCCAGCACTTTGGGAGGCCAAGGCGGGCAGATCACGAGGTCAGGAGATCGAGACCATCCCGGCTAACACGGTGAACCCCCGCCTCTACTGAAAATACAAAAAAATTAGCCGGTCGTGGTGGCACGCGCCTGTAGTCCCAGCTACTTGGGAGGCTGAGGCAGGAGAATCGCTTGAACCCGGAGGTAGAGGTTGCAATGAGCCAAGATTGTGCCACTGCACTCCAGCCTGGGCGACAGAGCGAGACTCCATCTCAAAAAAAAAAAAAAGATAAAATCAGAGAAGGGCCTATCCTGCTCTCAAGAGATAAAATAGGTACATAAATACCTACAAGATTGAAAGTGTAAATGCCACAAGAGATGTGCAGAAAAAGCATTACAGGAGTCCAGAGGGAGCTGTTACCACCTCACAGAAATATAACCCCTTCAATCTGTTTAAAACAATTTGATAACTATTAACTCCCTTTAGGCTCACAATAGCCAACCCTAGGAGAGTAGATGTTTACCTAATATGAAAGATGAGGAAACTGAAGCACAGAAAGGTTGATCAAGTTCCAAAATGTCACATAGTTACAGCAAGAATCAAGATACTTTGTATTATATTTTCTCCGGGGGAGTAGTTCAACATATGGCAAGCCTTTTGTAAAAGGAAAGAGTATTTTAGTATTGTAAGTAATCAGTTCCTACTGTGAGCATTTTATACATAGCTATATCCATATATACAATTAATCTTGACTTCCATTAACAGGTGTGCTTAAAGCAAGGCCAAGCAACTGGGTACTATAAATACTAAAATAAATAAATAAATTTCCACCGGATGTTAACAGAAGAAGAAAAAAAGATACAAGATTTCTCTCTCCAGTAACTTGCGGTTACTTCTTCTGTAATTGTTACCCTTGTCTAAATAACATTCTAAAATTGGTCTGCTCCTGAGCCCGGGCAAGTACAAGTTGGTTCATCCAATAAATATCTTCATGAAAAGGTACATCAAAACATTTCAAAAAGCTATTAAAAATTAAACAATGCCATCAACTCTTCAGTTATCCACAGGACAATCACATGTAACCCAGCATCAGCAGCTATTGATCAAGATATGTTGAACGAATGAATGAATCTTTGTAGGCATTTTTAGATCCCAGGCCTGTTGCTCCTTGCACATTGCCATGTTCAGCCTTCCATCACCGCCTCAGCAGGGTGCACACATGGAATGTAAATTTCAATATAATTAGGATATAATTAGAGAAGCAAATCTGATGCAGGTTTACATACTAATCCCAAAGATTAGAATTACCTATACCACTACTCTCCAAGGTTAACTCTGTTGAAGGGGCACCGCAGCATGCAACATCACATAAAGAAAACTGACACTTTCTGAGCAAACAGTTTTCGTCCATATCACTTATTCCCATCCATTCCTCTAATACGTGACTATTCCTGATCCAGTTAATTTGAAGAATTCAGTCTCCTCTCCATAAAGGCTGATTTCACAACTACAGTTTCTCAAATTCCTGTCTCCCCAAAAAGAGGTGCACTCACGGACTTCGCTCAAGAAAACACCAACAATAAACGGCAGAGGTATAGGGTTCGGATCTTTGCCATCTCCACCAGTACCCAGCCTTCGCCATTACACCCTGAAGCGGTCTGTTAGAAAGGTGAACTAATTTACTCTGCTCGCACTTGTCCATGGCTGTCACCCTCCCTAGCCCCCTTCTACACTCCCAAGTCGGCCACCAACTCCGCCTCAGTGAGCCCAGGCCCGCCACCTGCGCCGGCCCCACCCGGGGCCCCGGCTGCCCGCTCTCCCTCGCGGGCCCTGTAGGCTCTGCACGCCCCTCCGCACAGGACACCTCGGGACCAGCCCCGGCCCGGCCACAGCCCATTCTTCCTTCAAACTCCATAAGCCTCCGCTAGCCGAGCCCGAGCTCCGCGCCGCGCCCGGCTCTCCCCTGGGCTACCGAGAAGAGGCCAGGCGGCCAGGACGGGTCCCGACCTGCCCAGGCCTGCGACACCCCCCGCCCGGCGGAGAAACCGTCCCAGCGGCTGCTGCCCCGGGAGACCTCGGAAGCCCCCGGACTAACAGGAGCCCGGAGGCCGGGGTTGCAGGCGCCAGGGCCTACTCACCGGGAGCTGGCTGAGCGTGGGAGCCGACGTGCGCCCCGGCCTGAGCAGTGGGGCGCGGTCCCGGCGCGCGGCCCTACACCGGGACCTCGCTTGGCGCGGCGAGCCGGGCGCTCACTCCAGCCGCCGCCGCCGCCGCCGCTGCTGCTGCTTCGCCACCTTGGCCGCCATCTTGACTCAACCCCTCTCCCTCCCCCCAGCCCGGGGAGCCGCGGCTAAGGCGGCTCCGACGCCGGCTCCTCCTCCTTCCGGAGAGTTGGGAGACCGACTCCCTCCGCTGGCCGGTCGCCTCTCCTACCTCGGCGGAGCTTCCTGGGTCGCGCCGCGCCCGGTCTCCTCACATCTCCTCTAGGCCTGGCAGCGGCGGTCCTCTCGGACGGAGACGGGGCCGGGCAGCGCCTAGCCGGATCCAGCGCGGCTGCCATCGCGCCCTGGGCTTGTGCGCCCCCCGCGAGCCAGTCTGTTCTGCGCGCCCGAGGCCTTCCGCAGGCGTGGGAAAAGGAAAAACGCCAGGCCGTGCAAGGGACCCTGCAACCCCTCGGCGGCGGGGCGGTGGCGGCCTCCTCTGTCCGGAGCCGCGGAGAGGGAAGCCAGGTCCCCCTCGTGGCTGGGAGCCGGAGGGGTGCATTTCGACCTGCCCAAGATACTTTCTAGGGCTCTGGCTGGAATTCGCATCAAGCCCTCACTGAAATGCTGGGCGAGGCCGATTTGTCCACGATGTTGCTCCTTAACCTTAAGTTACTTGCAATAGGAGCCTGTGGCCCTCGCGACTGTTAAGTGCCTTACCCTGCCGGGGAAATGACGGTTCCTCGTAACCGCACGCATACTTTCCTTTAGAAAAGCCAGGCCCGACAGGACGCAGTGGGTCACGCTTGTAAATCCCAGCACTTTGGGAGGCCGAGGCCGGCCCATCACTTAAGGTCAGGAGTTCGAGACCAGCCTGACCAACATGGAGAAACTCCGTCACTACTAAAAATACAAAAATTAACCGGGCGTGGTGGCGCGTGCCTGTAATCCCAGCTACTGGGGAGGCCGAAGTGGGAGAATTGCTTGAACGCGGGAGGCTGAGGTTGCAGCGAGCCTAGATCGCGCCACTGCACTCCAGCCTGGGCGACCAGAGCCAGACCCTGACTCAAAAAAAAAGAAGGAGCCGGGCGCGGTGGCTCACGCCTGTAATCCCAGCACTTTGGGAGGCCTAGGCGAGCGGATCAGCCTAGTTAATATGGTGTTCGAGACCAGCCTAGTTAATATGGTGAACCACTGTCTCTACTAAAAATACAAAAATTAGCCGGGCGTGGTGGCGCGCGCCTATAGTCCCAACTACTCGGGAGGCTGAGGCAGAACAGTCGCTTGAACCCGGGAGACAGAGGTTGCAGTGAGCCGAGATCGCTCCACTGCACTACAGCCTGGCCGACAGAGCCTCTCAAAAAAAAAAAAAAAGAAAAGCCATCCAAAAGTGAGAAGGAAAAACAAAGTTGGTGTAACTGGCTGTTTCGGAAAACTGTCATCCGGATAACGGGCTATCTAACCCTATAATTACGAGAAGGGCCCGAGTTTTAAGAAATGAGTTCGAAAATGAGTTGAAGAAGAGGAAGGCACTCTTCCTACAAGACAAGAAGTGGTAGCTTATATATAAGACGCGTCCTTTTAAAGCGATTGTACAGTGTGGTAGGACTAGGTTAGGAAACTGGACGGCATGGCGACTTCTGTGTTAAAACACAGGAGCACCCTTAATGGTAAAACCTCAAGCTTCCGGAGCATGTCGGTGGGGAGGGACTTAACCGCGGAACCCAACATCCCCGGGTGCCGTTTTCCAGCCGGAGTCGGGGTCAGTTAGCCTTTCCTACTGCGCAGGCTCAATGCTACTTACCCGTAATGGAAGCAATGTGGCTCCTGTGTGTGGCGGCGGCGGTCGTGGCATGGGGCTTCCTCTGGGTTTGGGACTCCTCAGAACGAGTGAAGAGTCGGGAGCAGGGAGAACGGCTGGGAGCCGAAAGCCGGACCCTCCTGGCCATAGCGCACCCTGACGATGAAGCCATGTTTTTTGCTCCCACAGTGCTAGGCTTGGCCCGCCTAAGGCACTGGGTGTACCTGCTCTGCTTCTCTGCAGGTAGGAGGCCATAGGAGGGGCGATGGGAGCCGGGGCTGTGAAAGGGATTTAAGTGCTAACCGATCTCAGTCGCCTTCTTCTCGAAGAGTTTTCCGTAGGGAGCTAAGTGAATACACCGAGGGTCTTACCTCTGACCCCCTCACAGGCTGGGGACAGGAGCGGCTGGCTTACCTGGTGGGTTGGGGGACGTCGGCAGCTCGCGTAGTACGCTAGCAGGATTGAGGAGCAGAGAAACAGTTGCGGTTGGTTGCATTCAATACCTGCATTTCCAATGGGAACTCCACCTGTACTTGTTATTCTGCGGAACTTTTTTTTTTTATTTGTAGAAGGAGCAAGAATATTGACCTTACTATATAGTTCACGAAACAATCTATACTGTATCGTGCCTGCTCCATCCTTAAAGTTAATTTTTAATAATAGTGAAAGACCTTCCTGCTGCCTTTAAATGCAACTTGTGCTAGTAACGCATGTGTCAAACTGAAGAATTAGACATAGATGATTACATAGAAAGTAATTTTGTAGGTAATTTTAGAGTTCAACTGCACCCAGCTTTCAGTGAAGGAACCTTTCAAATAATAGATTTTTGTTTACCATAGAGAAAAGATCAAATGACAAAGCAAATATTGACCATCAAGCTGGAATATGGTGATTATTGAACAGTTGTATAAATGAAGTAATTGAATTGTACACATACAATGGGTGAATTTCATGGTATGTCAAATTATACCTCAATAAAGCTGTTTTGTAAAATTGCCCATGACCTCTTTTCCCATTTGGTTGTGTGTCTTTCCAATTCTTTTTCTATACAGCTTCTTCACAGAAATCACATTTTATAAAATTTTATATCATTTTTACTTAACATTACTTTTTCATTTACTTACCAAATACTTATTAAACATTTATGTGCTAGGCCTTATTCTATGCCCTAGGGATACAAAAGTGAAAAGCTAGATAAGAGCAGTGTCCTCATGAAACTTAAAACATCTACCCATATTAATTAGATCTAAATGTATAGCTTGTTAAATGGCTTCATTGGGATAAATCTTAATCATCCTTTATTGTCTGTACCTTCAGAGGTTTTTTCCTAGTTTATTGCAAAGAGCAGAAAACATCTTTATGTATTTTATATTATTTCATTAGTATTAATTTCTAAAATTGGCTGTTTTGAGGCTTTGCATGCAAAACACATTCCCAAAAACTATATGCCAATTTACTCTTTTTGTTTTGAGATGGAGTCTCACTCTGTCTCCCAGGCCGGAGTGCAGTGGCACGATCTCGGCTCATTGCAACCTCCACCTCCCGGGTTCAAGTGATTCTCCTGCCTCAGCCTGCTGAGTAGCTGGGTTTACAGGCGCATGCCACCACACCTGGCTAATGTTTGTACTTTTAGTAGAGATGGGGTTTCACCATGTCAGCCAGGCTGGTCTCAAACTCCTGACCTCTAGTGATCCACCCACCTTGGCCTCCCAAAGTGCTTGGGATTACAAGTGTGAGCCACCATGCCTGGCCTACCCATTTGCATTCTTACTGACACTAATGAGAGTATCTGTCTTAATATATTACTTCCTGTAGCATTGACTGATTTTTTTATAAATTTCTTTCTTGTGCGTGTGTGTGAGACAGAGTCTCGCTCTATTGCCCAGACTGGAGTGCAGTGGCGCAATCTCGGCTCACTGCAAGTTCTGCCTCCTAGGTTCACACCTTTCTTTGTGGGACTACAGGTGTCCACCACTACACCCAGCTAATTTTTTTGTTTTTTTGTTTTTTTTAGTAGAGACGGGGTTTCACTGTGTTAGCCAGGATGGCAATTCTCCTACCTCAGCCTCTCGAGTAGCTAGGACTACAGTGTGCACCACATGCTGGGCTAATTTTTGTATTTTTAGTGGAGCCAAGGTTTCACCATGATGGCCAGGCTGGTCTCGAACTCCTGACAAGTGATCTGCCCACAGGTGTAAGCCACCGCACCCAGCCGGCTAGCTTTTAGTTGTATTTGTATTTTATATTACAACTATAGGAGTCAAATGATAAGCTAGTTTGTTACAAGATCTTCAAGAGAAGCCTAGATTTTATTTGCAAAACATTATAGGTACTGCTCTTTAATAAACTTACCCTTATTTTCAATAAGTTCATAAAAATTTGGGACCACAATTGAAAATTTGTTCAAATAAAAAATATAGGCTGGACATGGTGGCTCATGCCTGTAATCCAAGCACTTTGATAGGCCGAGTCGGGCAGATCACGAGGTCAAGAGATCGAGACCATCCTGGCCAACGTGTTGAAACCCCGTCCCTCCTAAAAATACAAAAATTAGCTGGCTGTGGTGGTCTGCGCCTATAGTCCCAGCTACTCGGAAGGCTGAAGCAGGAGAATCACTTGAACCCGGGAGGCGGAGGTTGCAGTGAGCCGAGATCGCACCACTGCACTCCAGCCTGGCAACAGAGGGAGATTCCGTCTCAAAATATATATATACATAGAGATATATGTACATATATATGTATAGAGAGAGAGCACGCACTTGGCACTCAATATTTTTATTGTCTTTCATTATTTCCTCTGAATCCATTTTGTTTTTTCTTGTATGTTATTTATTCTTTATTCGTGTTTTGTTTTTTATTTTATTTTTTTATTTTATTTTATTTTATTTTATTTTGAGACGGAGTCTCACCCTGTCTCTCAGGCTGGAGTGCAGTAGTTCGATCTTGGCTCACTGCAACATCTGCTTCCTGGGTTCAAGTGATTCTCCTGCCTCAGCCTCTCGAGTAGCTGGGATTACAGGCATGCACCACCACGCCCAGCCAATTTTGTATTTTTTGTAGAGACGGGGTTTCACCATGTTGTTCAGGCTGGTCTCGAACTCCTGACCTCAAGTGACTCGCCCACCTCGGCCTCCCAAAGTGCTGGGATTACAGGTATGAGCCACCACACCTGGCCACGTTAGGCTAATTTTTGTATTTTCAGTAGAGACACGGTTTTACCATGATGGCCAAACTGGTCTCGAACTCCTGACCTCAGGCGATCCGCCTGCCCCGGCCTCCCAAAGTGCTGGGATTACATGCATGAGCCACCGAACATGGCCTGTTTGTTTATTTTATAAAACAGGATCTTGTTCTGTCTAGAGCCTTTCCCCTCCAGACTGCACTGCCAGCTCTTATATCAGGTGACAGAGGAAGACCCTGTCTTTATAAAATAAACCAAACTGAATAACATACAAGAAAAAATGGTAAGTTGGATTCAGAGGAAATAATGATTACAGCGTGAGCCACTGCTCCAGGCCTAATTTTTAAAATCACTTTTTAAATTCACAAGTTATTCAAACATGTATGGATTAAACATTATCTATTCTGCTGACTTAACATACTAATATGAAAAACAGGAAGCTATTGATTTGTAATATAATGAAAGCTATGATGTTTTGATGGAGAAAGTACTATGGACACAAAATGGAAAAAAGCATTAAATCTCTTTTCAGGGTTTTAGATTAAGGTAATCTCCAAATTGGTTTTCTTTTGAGCTGGACTTTAAAAATAGGAGTAGATATATATAGGAAGCAAGCAGTAGTAAAGGCATCAGTAACTCTTGGATTCGCGTGAATAATTCATTCTAACAAGATCTTCAGTTTAAGAGAAGGGGAGAAGCAGGGAAAAACTAATAATTGCTTTGTTATTGGTGGCTCATTTCATGCTGTCAGCAACTCTATGAGGTAGGTACTATTGTTTTCTCCATTATACAAGTATGGGAACTGAATCATGAAGTTTAACTAACAACCGAAGTGACCAGCTACAGTGTGAAGAAGCCAGGACCCCGTGGTTTTTCTCTGTTCTAAAACCGTTACACCCAATCTGCCTCTCACATTGCCTTGTATGCCTTGTCAGTTGATGAAATACCTAAATTGATTCCCAGTGTATGTTCCAAGGAACATTAGTTCATCAAGCTGCTATTTTAAAAAAAGAGGCCAGGCACAGTAGCTCACACCAGTAATCCCAGCACTTTGGGAGGCCGAGGCAGGTGCATCACATGAGGTCAGGAGTTCCAGACCAGCCTGGCCAACATGGAGAAACCCCATTTCTACTAAAAATACAAAAATTAGCCAGGTGTGGTGGCACACGCCTGTAATCCCAGCTACTTGGGGGGCTGAGACAGGAGAATCGCTTGAACCCAGTAGGCAGAGGTTGCAGTGAGCAGAGATCGTACCACTGCACTCCAGCTTGGGCATCAGAGCAAGACTCCAACTCAGAATAAATAAATAAAATAAAAAGAATGCCTTGGTCAAGTTTGGAGAATAGCCAGATGTGCTATCCTTTATGTAGACGTTTATAGTCTGTATGAGAATATCAACATCTTCGAGAAGCATTGCTGCAAAAAACTTTTACTTGGTTTAATCCAGTATTCCTCCAATTTATGTGACCACTAAAATACCTACTAATAGATGCATCTCTTATGTAGTAGGATGTCATTGAATATATATGGTAGAGAAGTAACATAATCAGTTTTGTGTTTTAGAAAGCTCATTCTTGGCCAGGCACAGTGCCTCATGCCTGTAACCCCAGAACTTTGGGAGGCTGAGGTGGGTGGATCATGAGGTCAGGAGTTCGAGACCAGCCTGGCAAACATGGTGAAACCCCATCTCTACTAGAAATACAAAAATTAGCCGGGCATGGTGGTGGATGCCTGTAATCCCAGCTACTCGGGAGGCTGAGGCAGGAGAATTGCTTGAACCCGGGAGGCAGAGGTTGCGGTGAGCCAAGATTGCTCCACTGCACTTCAGCCTGAGTGACAGAGCTAGACTCTTGTCTCAAAAATAAAAGCTCCGTCTTGGACCAGGTATGGTGGCTCATGCCTGTAATCCCAACCCTTTGGGAGGCCAAAGTGGGAGGATCACTTGAGGCCAGGAGTTCAAGACCAACCTGGTCAACATAGTGAGATCCCATCTATTTAAAAAAGGAAAAAAAAAAAAAAAAAAAAAAAAAAAAGCTGATTCTGGTGGCAATGTGGAGAATGGT